AATCCGTCGACAATGGTCGAAAAAGACAGGTCGAAATTTCTCGAGATTTCGACATGTATGTGTTGAAATATCACTGCTGCAAAAATAAAATATGTCGAAATTAGTTTTTTTTTTTTTTTCCTTTTTAAATATATTTTTCGACACGTTGGTGTCGAAAATTGACAAAAAAAAAAATCGACATTTATGTGTCGAAATTGTCGGCGGGTCTAAAAAAAGAACTTTAAAATCGACTTCGAAACTCAAAAAAAAGCATGGATACATATCTTAATGTGTTTTCCTTGGTCGTAAACTACCATTTCGTTATCGTTTGACTCCATTTTACAAATTGTATGAGGTTTTAATTTCTTTAGTTTTGAGATTTTTTAGGAGGGTTTTTGTGAGAAAGAATGAGGAGGTTGAGAGATTTATAAAGAAGGAGATGAGTTTGAGGGGTTTTGTGTGTTTGATATTAAAGAAAAAAATAAAAGATTTTTAATGTTTTGGGATCGGCTAAAACAAATAATGTTTATTTCTCACTTAAATACCATCAACATAAAAAAATAGAAAATAAATAGATAATGACATTAATAGCCGTAATAAAATCAATACCACACAAATTTTGTGTGTGATATCTATTTTCATTGAGGGTAATAATGTCATTACCTATTTATTATTTATTTATTTTTTATTTTTTATGATGGTGGTATTGAAGTGAGAAAAAAAGGGTATTTGTTTTAGCCGCTCTCTAATGTTTTTATGATATTAATTTTTATTAAGGGTATTTATGTTATTACATACTTATTATCTAATTTTTATTTTTTTTTGTTTTAAAGTTAGAAAAATTTGATATTATTTTTAGGGGATCACTATTTCAAATCCCAACTTTTGCTTACTTGAATACCAAAAAAATAAAAAAATAAATAATTAATTGTAAATTACTTTAATACCCTTAATGAAATTAAAACCAAAAAAATATTACAAATACTATTTTTCTTTCTTAAATACCAAATAATCAAAAACTCAAAAAAACCATTTCCCTCCTTCTCCACCTCCTTCTTCTCCCTCCCCAAAAACCCTTCTAAAAAATCTTCCTCCCCAAAAACCCTTCTAAAAAATCTCACAACAAACCCTTCTAAAAAATCTCAAAACTAAAGAAATTAAAACCTCACAAAACGTATAAAATTGAGTTATAAGACAATAATATGGTAGTATATATGAAAGGAGCACACATTAAGGTAAGTATCGATGTCTTTTTTGAGCTTCGAAGTCGATTTTGAAC